GGTATTATGTAATAAGTTTCAAACATTCATTTTAAGCAAACACGATCATTCAAGAAAAAAATCATGCAGAACTGAAATACTTTAAAATTTGGTCTATTCTAAAGAGTTTTCGAGATTCGTCTTATATATGCAGTTAAAATGTGTTATTAAAAGTAAATAAAAATTTGTATGTCAGTTCGCATATCCTGTTGTGTACAAAATTGTGTTAGCAATACTGTCAGGTGGTTGGATGTAAATTCTCATCATCGAAACGGTATCACACAAATTTAAGTTACTGTAAAAAATAGGCCTGATTAGGTCACATCTGTTGTTTTAATTATTCAAATTCGTACCTTATGGAAATTGACCTGTTTTTTCAGTTTGTTTGTTTTTCATATTGGCACACAACTGTGCAAGGGCCATTTATGCAAACACTTGCTAATTTTGATATGATCAACAGATAGAAGGCGGTTAGTTAACAGTTCCTACCGCCAACTTTGGAGCTACTCTAATTGAATAGTGGGATTTGACTGTCACTCTTCAAACGCACCCACGCCCTCAAAGTATAGAGCGTGATTTTGAGGTAACTGGACACGAACAATGGTCCCTCAGGTTCATAGTCTCGCACGCCAACTACTAAGTCATGTCCGGACTTGACTTGATTTTATATGAAACATGTTATCATTTCATTAAACATAGACAAAAGATAATCGAATTGTATTTTTTATATTCAGAAAAGTAAATACGGAAGTTGAATGTGAGATGTCTTACGCTGTCTGCCGGCGGTGCTCCCCAGTGGCTTAGCGATAAGTCTGAGGGCTTATAATGTTAAAAATCAGGTTTCGATACTCGCAGTAGGCAAAGCACAAATATCCTATTTTGTATATTTGTGCCTAACAATACACCGTCAGTGTTGAAGCTATTTATGACTAGAAAATCGATTAACAAAAAATCTGAGTCTTAAATTGGTAAAAACATAACTGATTCGTACTTATATTAATATCACCAAAAAGAAAGTTGGTAGAAGAAAATAATGGAAATGTGCATAAATTTCTAATCTGGAGCATGATTAGTATGTGACTTTTGTGTTATTATCTTATGATCTTGTTCTGGGCTCAGTTCTGCTAAAAATATGTGACTCAGTGAGCAGCATAATGATACAGCTTCTGTTTATACAAATTTCTAAAATATTACCCAGCATGCACTATAGAACCAAAAATCTTAATTTACTCGTTCAGCTTCGAACATTTCTATCCATCTATGATAGGGCTAGTATATATTTAAAGAACTACTCGAAACATACAGTTTTTGTCACTAGGTAGCGTCACATGTTCAAAAGTAGAATGAGTGATATTTGTGTCTTGCTATTGGACAGTGACACACTTACACGTATACATACACATGAGCGCTATGAGATTACACAACACCGCCGAGAAAATATTAAGATATTGCAAAGGGCTCATTCTGAAGTACTTTTATATCATCATAAAGAAATATATATATATATATATATACACACACAGAAATATAAAACTTCATAAATCTGCACGTCTGTGCAAATTTTTAAAAACTGTAACAAACTAGTCTTGTTTTTGGCGCCTAGTGGCATTATAGATTTAAAAATATATTTACATACGAAACTTAATTTGCTTAAATATCTTACCAAGCCGAAACCTGTTTTATCACTTTGAGAAAGCACTGAAATAAAAAAAAACAAGAAAATTAAACACTTAATTTTACATATTGAAATTAGCGTACATAATTTGTATAACAAGTATTTGCTTTCTTGTTTAATGAATTTAGCGCAAAGCTACTCGAGAAGTATCTCTTTCTACAGAATCATGGAGAGATATAACGGTACACTTTCAAATGAATTAGCCATTTATATCAAAGCACATCATGAGGATGTTAGACGAAGATTTTCCATTCCTACTTATGAGTTATCAAACCGCATTACGTAAAGGGTAGACAACACATCAGCCAACATCACTGATATTAGAGAGGGGACTCAAAGTGCAATTGAACCTTCTGTACCCACATTCTGAGGAAAATCACTCAGCGCAGTCTTATTCAGAGAATGGGGGTAAGACTATTAACAACACACGCAACTTTACCCAGGAAATACTTAAATTAGCTAGTGATAAAATGATTAAACGATAATAAGACTCGATATCATTGTTGTAATATGATTTAGCTATTATAGGTACTACTTGATGACCTGCCACAAGTGACCTTCCAATCTTTAAATCCGCTGGCCGGGATGGGTCTTCCACTGCTTCCACAAGCATTGGGCTTCCTTGGGGATGTTCTTTTATCCTATCCCAAATAATCTTCTCTGACATAGGGAGTATTGTAGTTGACTTAAGTTCTGTGACATGCAGATCTACGAATGCAGGAACACTTACTGGAATCTGGCCTATG